GACAGACTACAAGATAGAGAAAATTTTACAGAAACGATAAAAAATGTTCCTGAATTGTTGGAAGCAGGCAAGAGAATGCCTAGAATTGAAAAGGAAAAAGTTACTGAAATAGCCATACAGACATCTACACCATTCATGATGGAGGATTTCAAAATAGATATTGACAAAGAAAAACTGAGSAGTGAAGATAGGGAAACAGAAGAAGAGGTATTGGTTAGTAAGGAAACTATTGGTATACAGGCAGGTACACTAGAGACTGAATACATTGAGGTGGTTATAGACAGGGAGGGTGATAGAAAAATGGAAGGCAAGGARAAGCCCAGTAAACTGGACAATTTATTCCAGGAAGAAACAGTGATCAGCAAGGAAAATATCGAGAGAATAACRGAAAAAGAGAAAGCTAAAGAAGTTATAGCCTCAGCCATAGAAACACAAAGTTCAGTAGAGCAGGAAAGTGATTTCAAGAGACAAGCATTTGTACTAGATAAAAGTGAAAATGTAGTAAAGACTGAAGACAAACCCAGTAAGCCCGTGATTGAAGGGGGTAAAATAWATTTGACAGGACCTGCTCTTGTTCTAGAGAAAATGAACGCCTTTAAAATCCAAAATCGTGCGGTGTCTAAACCATTGCCCGAASCAATGGAAAGTGGAAGTGACATCAKGGAGTCAGGGCATGGAGCATATGCACGTATCACSAAGGCAGAAAAGATTATACGCCCTAGGGATGAACCTTCAAATGAAAGTATTGGTGGTAGTATTGGTACCAATCCATGGAAATCTGACCCCAAAATCCAATCAAAGAAGCTAGAATCTGACACAAAGGTAAGGTGCAAAAAGTAATACAGTTTAATGCCATTTTATTGAAAAAAATAGAAAATCTGTTTGTGCTGTTTGCAGCTACATATTATTATGCATGTCATGCTTCAGTGGAAATGGCAGATGTTAGGTGAAGCTGAGGATGAATAGAGAAGTGATTCTTAACATTTTTAGTGTTCTGCCAATYCCCAAGTGCTTTATTACTTTATTACATTACTGTAGACCAGTGGTCACAGTAATGTGCTCATTTTTTTATTCCTTTTATTACAAAAAGAACACTCCCCAACTCTACTGCTTTCTACTGTTTCCAACCCTCTAAAATGAARCATTGAGTTGGAATACATGCRAGTTATATTTTATCAAATTCAAAATACATCTTATTCCCAATTGATTGRCTCAAGAGATGATTTKCAGTTATGTATTTCAAAAATGTGAYGGRAAMAAAATCAGTGTTGACGGTTCAAGTGTCCTTACTGTCATTACCTAGTGAACTAAAATAGCCATTTTTAAATATGMTTAATTAAATCAAATGACAAGCAGTTAGGCTCAGGTCAAATGTCGAAGTTTTACATATTGAGCCAAACCAAATTGAAACAAGGCGGATAACAAGGCGGTCTCCTTTGATGTTAAATTAAGTCCAGCTCATGTAAAATTCAACATTTGACCTGAGCCTTACTCTAATAGAACATGCACCCCTTCTAACTATCTCTTCACTCCCTACCAATAATTCCTATTATACATGTAATTAAAAGTATAATTCTAATAAAACTGATGTTTTAAATTTTAAAGTCCCCTGATGATAATCTTCAACCAAGTACAAGTAAGGAAAGGTAAAAAATAAAATAAAATACTAACCAGCTTGATGATGAAAGGCCTGTCTACACTCTGCACTTTTATTCGGCCTCATTCTTCGCCAGAATGTACAGGGGCAGGCAAATTCCTGGGGGTCAGGGGCCACGTGCCCCCCCCCCTACCAAATTTTTGGGGGGGGCCTGGCTCCCCCAAAAAACATTCAATCTTAGTCATTGTTTTATAGCACATGCGTCTGCAATCAAACAAAACATTGTCATTATCACATGTTTCGTTAAATAAAATCTTCAGTGACCCCCCCAAAGATTTTTGCAATGCCCCCCCCCAAAGATTTTTGCAATGCCCCCCTCCAAAGATTTTTAGCTTCCGCCACCCCTGATGTATCGTGAAGTAAATCTTGCATGTGGTTTAGTGCCAACTTCAAGCCTGAGTCTGTGAAAAAATCAAGCTGACATTGACTGTAAAGTTGTAAGAAAATCAGTCTGACTGCATGATACGAGGTTCTAAACCTTCAAAATAAACTTTTACGCATTAAAGCACTGAAATTACTTTATTCTGACTGAGATATTGATTTGGGTGAATCTGACTGATTTAATGTCATTCAAATCGGATTTGAATTTGGCTCTGAAATACATGCACAGTTTAAATTGCTTCCCACTTGTATCAGGCCAATGAATTCACCACTTTGRCGCTAGCCAACACGTAGAATAAATTTTATTGGATTGTGTTACTTGATTKATCAAGTTAGCTTCCTAAATACAAGCAAAATATCATTTTTCTAACTTGATTGAAGCTTTTCTTATTGCTAAAAATAATAATTTGTACAAAAGTCAGTACATTTTGTATGGAAATCCAAGAACAATGTCTGACCTCTTTGGTGACCGTAACTTAATCCAACATGATTCATACCATGTGACAACTAGCGCCAAAGTGGTCAATAGTTCTTTTGCAACAAACAGTCACGTGCTGATATATGACTTTGATAACGAATCAATTCAGCTCAAGGTCCCTTGGGGAAGGCTCTGCTGGATGGCAAACAAACTTTAAACTGCTTCGTATCTTGAAATCAAGAGTATCTTATAAGGGAAAAAAAGTATTTTTGAAAAGGTTTTGGGTGCGACATTAGTAATCCTGCAAAAAAAAATTTAAATAAAGGAAGTCCAAATTTATTTGCATCCAGTAACAATCACGTGTCAATGTATTGCAAAAGGCCTATTGGGCTGATAAATCTCAGCGTGAATTGAGACAGTTTAAATCATGGGTGGATCCAGGGATGGTAAAAAGGGTTACAAGTCACCCTGCTTTTGCTCAAGTTTCTCAGTATATTGTTAGAAGCAGTTACCCAACCTTTCCTGAAATACCTGGAAAAACCTTTGTAATAGTAAATCCCTCTTCTAAAATTCCTGGATCGGAGTCTGTAAGTATAATACAATGTACTTGTTTTAGCATGTCAAATGCCATCAGTAGAATGAAGAAATAGGTGAAAAGTTAGAATATGATAATAAATTATATGTGTAGTACCAGTGAAATAATCATCCATACCCACCCCACAGAGAAATTTGGAATTTCTGAAGAGTAGGGGGGTCGGAAAAAGAACAAAAATTACAGAGTTTATATGGAAGAAAATTGGAATTTCCGGGGGGTAGGGGTACGTTGTCTTAAAAAAAATTCCTCTGTGAGGAACTACACAATCTTAATCTAATTACTAAAAGAAGTTTTCTTGTCTATTCATATCAGTATGACTGAAGTACGAAGAAGGCAAAGGCAAGAAAAAAAGGAAAAAACAGAAAAACTAGTAAAAGACATTAAAGCCAGAGTGGAGTATGAAGAAAATACAAGGTGGATAAGAAAGATAATAAGGAACTCCTTAATTGTGATAGGAATTTGTGCAACAGCTTATATAGCCTATAGGTGTTACAGATATTTCTCCCACATACCTCGTAGAAAACCTCGTCGCTTTTAGCTTCTGTTATAGACCAGGGCCCGATTGTATAAAGAGTGGATAGCGTTACCTGACGGATAAATCTTATCCAGTGAATAAATTTATTGGATAACAGCATCGATTTATCTACTGGATAAGGATTTATCCATCAGATACTGCTATCCACCCTTCGTACAACTGGGCCCAGTTAATTAGGTTGACCTTTTGATATTTTACTACTATGTTAGGATACAATTATAAAAAATTAAATATGATAAAATCAGATCTAACACACCAGTTTTGCATTTGATACATACCACCATTTTTAAAGACTAGAGGTACTCATTTGCACAGGCTTAGCCTTGTTTATAAGTCAGCTACTCACAGATACGGCCCTGTACCATTGAAARCCCACAAGATTTCAAAACACTGGTGTTGTTCAACTTGCACATTCTATACATTATACAGTTGACTTTTGCAAATGATTTGCTCTTAACCGAGGCTAAGCCAGTGGAGATGAGTCTCTAGTCATAAAACACACTGTGGTATTTACCGAATGAGAAATTAAGGGACTATAATTGGCTTAAAGAAGGCAAGATCTTACAGGGCTGGAAATACTGATCAGTCATGGGTCCAATGTTCAGCCAAAATAGGCACTAGTATGGCCAAACTCATTTTAGGCCAGTCCTTGTGATAGGTCACATTAACTGGTCACAYTGATGTGTTGTGTTAAWTTTTTAGCCGCCTGATGTAATCATTCTTTTATCACTGTTTTCATTGCTATGTGCTAGTCAAGACAACAGCCAGCAATCAATGTTTGTAACTTGCACTAACAGGTCACGTAACCCTACCTCCCTTAAAACAAGCAGCTGTTTAAATGAAAATATTCGATTTTATATAATTAATGCTACTTATCYTATATTCAACACTTTAAGCAGAAACTTYGCCCTCTTACTAATGTTGAGATTGCTCTTTTGCCACTCTTTTCATTTCTGTTTTCACAAAGCTTCTCGTTTTAAGGTAGCTAGGGTCACAATAGGTAGGTCTATTGTTGTCTTGATCAGTACATGGGTAACAGATTTTCCAAGGGGKAAAAGAACCTATTACCAAACTAACATGTTGACAATATTGGCCACTGGCATGACCAACAGTGGACGAACTATAGACCCCTTGCATGTSACGTCAAAGCAGGTCAATTTGGAAGACAAAGCAAAAAAATGTCAATCTTATGAGAACTGGAAACCAAATATTGAGCTGCATTGTGACAGACTACAAGGGTCTATTAGCAGCCACTAGACAACTTGTAGACATGGTGGCAGAGTAACAGTTGTCATTCAAAGGTATGATGGCCATGATATTTATGATATTTGGTGTCATAACTACAGGTGCAGTTTTTTAAAGGTCCCTAAACAGTGCGCGTGTTGTTCACATTAGATAATATGATTGCAGAAAATTTGAGTTATTTGTGCAATTATARCAGTTATTATGAAAGAATGCAAATGAGATGCAAATTAGACAAGCATTGAATCGCCCCATAACCTCACTCGTATGGTTCTTAAAACAAAAGAATTTCTCATTGCTGKCTCCAGTGTAATAACAGCTATTGTCTGATCCAGAAAACCTTGATAAAAAGCTAGGTCTAGGTATAATGTTGTATTTTTCATACCTCACTTATGTTATTATTTCTTTCTAGATAGAAATTATTTTTTTAAATGTAGTTGATTTTAAAAAGTTCGCTAGACTGTAGTTTTCTTGGTAGTGATTTTGCTTTATGTTTTGTATAAATAAAAATAATCTAATGTAAATAATAAAAGTGATTTAAGTACTGCGTTAGTTGTACATCCAGAATCTGACACAATACCCT